CATAGAATCATCTGCTCGAGTAACCATCAGTCAGAGACTGCTCAAAGAGCACACTTTCGTTACTCCATATTTTTTGACTTATGGATGAATTATTGGCAATCAACACTTAGCACCATATGATGTAAATGGTGACTATTACCATGGAAGGTATTTACGTTTCGAAACATTGGATGAGTAACATTGAGTGTCACGTTGTGTCTCTTTTTTCAACTACCATGGACTTTCCCGTGAATAGTTAAGTTTTCCATATTGTTATTGTAAAATGCAGTATACTTCTTGCTATTGATAAACTTGTACGATGTATTTAGTGATCGACGATTGATAGGAGTTCGCCAATGTAAAACGGAAAAAAGCAGTAAAGATATTCCAATTTAATAAATTCAATGCTATAAAGGAGCCCGAAGAATACATATAATTCCGATCTGAACTCAAATTTTTAATATAACTTTATGGCATCTTTATCGAAATTGTGCATTTTATTCACAGAATTCCATCACGTGACTTTTCGTCGAAATTGTGAATTTTATTCACAGAATTTTCCCTGTATAGTAGTAGTACAGAAATTATGTATGACTTGTCGAACAAAAAATAACACTACCAAGTGTATACGCTTAGGCAGACGAAGAAATTCTTAATGCGGTCCTATGTATTCCAGTGAAACTACTTCATAGGCGGAGCCTAGGCTTCACCCGAAATCCAATAAAACGTTGATCTCTAGAAAGTAGCGTGGTGGTTCTGCAGACAGAAACATTGGAAATCAGTTGATTCTGATGCAAATACAGTATGTAATTTGGCCAGTTTCATTATGGCCAGTTTCACTAAAGTGTATCTCCTAAATATCTTTGGTCTGACAATAATATCTACTTTGCGGGCTCCTCGCTACCTAGTGCTCTATTTTAATAGACCCCATAACCTCTAAAATCTGTTAGGGAATTCGATACTCAATCCTGCTCGTGCTATAGATACCCTCGCTGATATTTTTTTTGATTGCATTGTCAACACGGCCAGTGTTTTCTTCACCAATTATATTCGCTTTCGTTGATGTCGGGGTGGCTTTATTATTTGTGAGCTCGAGATACAGTATATAAAAAAGAACTCCTTTAATCTGATATTACTTACGTGGTATGAAGTGTGGAATGCGAGTTATATCTCCGCTAACAATCCCATATTTCTCCGGCACATCACTTAAGTCTTTCAAACTCCTGTACAAAGAGAACGACTTTAATTTACGATTGCCAAGTTCCTTAGCGAAGCTCGCAAGGTCTGAAGCGGGTCCAAAACTTAAACCAAAACTGTGAAGTTTTCTTCGGTTTTCTTGAGAAAGCACGCCAGTAATCTTTTCTTTTTCAATGATCTTCAAGTCATCCTCGTCAAGCACTCCTTACGCAAGAAATGTACAAGCACCTTCGTTTTATATTTTCGAACCACTTCAGCTTGAGTGGGAGCATTTTTTCTTCTGTTGCAGTGACGCTAGTAGGTAGAAGCTGGTATTAGTTTCAGAGACAGACTCCGCAGTAACTACGCCATTAATTATAACCGTAGTCATTTATTTATGACTTCCATTTTTTTTTTCGACATTTTTAATTATCCCGCTTATCTATAGACAACATAGATTATGGTTTGTAAAAAAAAAGACGTGTTCAATCCACACCATCAGCAACTATGACCAGATATTTTTCAAATGGCCTATTTAAGTTCATTCGGAACAATGTCGATGATTACTTGTTTTATATATGTCAATGACACGTTTCTTCTGAACTGATTTGTGTAACAACAATTCTTTCGTTATAATAATGGATGATCTAAGTTATTCGTAGTGTTTACTTAATCTCGTCTGATATGTGTATTATATGTCATGCGATCACAAGAAAAACTGTTGAATTACCACTTTTATTGTGTAGTACAAGAAATGTTTAGTACAAGAAATGTTTAACGTCCCCTTCTAATTTATTTTTGTACATGATGTTGTTTCACTATTCTTATACGAAAAAATATACTATCAGTCGTAGACTGTCTAAGGGGCACATATTTTATTTTATATAGTGTTTGTGATGGCAAACGAAAACGTATTCCATAATCTTATTAAATTTCTGAATTATACCGTTGACTTAATAAATATGATACTTTTCGTAAAACATATTGGACAGTTTAGTGGAATTATGATAAGGCGACCGTGACCCATTGGCCACAGTCTCGTTATTCGAAAATTTACTTCGTAGGCATGGCCTAGTTTTTGGGCAATGATCATCATCTACACCTAATACAGAAAATTATTCATAATGCACCTGATCAAATATAAATCATAAAGCACATTATACATTTAGCGTTGGACAGTGCTAGCCGTAAACCGGATACCGTTGATGAATATAAATGGTGGTTTACTTTGCTTTTCAATTCCTCAGATCATAATGGATAACAACAATCTACTTGATGTCCATATTACCAACCACTTGGAACAACAGGGCGGACATCCTCATATTATCACATTATCGCTGATCATTTTGCCGATCATTTGTCAATTATTTATTCGATATTATCACAAAAAAAAGATACTAATATGGTTATTTTCGCAAACTTTACTATACACAAAACTGAAATAATTTTGATTTGACTATTTTGAGGGTCTAAATGGTTGAAATTAGCTGAAATTGCATGATTTTATAATTACTAATAAATAATACAAAATTCAAAATTTACGACTAAAATTGTACTACTAAAAATGTTCAACTAAAAATGTTCGACTAAAAATGTATAACTAAAACTTACCGACAAAAATTTTACCAACTGGTCCCATATACTCAACGTTCTTGAAATTGTCCGATCCTTCTAGGCAAGATATATCTATCTACCCTGACCAGTTAGACTGCCTTGGGTTCACCAGATCCAAGGTAACTGTGATCTCAGGTCAAGGGTCTCGTTGTTGGGCAAAATGTATTATGAATGAATAAGTGTCGTTTAGTTTATATATCCGAATAAATTATGATTAAATCACGTGACACTCCCTTCATAATTTCATGGAATGGGCTAAATTAGCCTCCTCGTTCCTCGAAAAATCATGAAGATATTTTGTATACATTTTTTTACGAGATATATACGTATATGAAATACATTAATCATGTCTGCAGGAAAAATCTGTATGATTTTCTGAACGAAGTGAAGAAAAATATACAGGGAACTGTTTTCAAAAAAATATACATCAAAATACGGTCTAGTATCAATACGTGGAAGATGTTTCGTATTGGTAACTGTAATCTGCACCAGACAAATATATCACACTATAAGAGAATGTAATGCGTTAATTCATAATGTCGGCCAAGGTCTTCCATAATGTTGCCCAGACACTTGTATCTACTGTGTAACTTTAAAAATAAGGAGTATATTATATCTTGAAAATGAATATCTTAATATTACATATTCTGGTAATTGGATGCATTCCTTTTATAGCAAAAACGGGAACCAAGGTTAATATGTTCTTCTGTTAGGATTTTTCTAAATGAAATACTTAATTCTTTGTGCCCAAAAGATAACCATGTACATCCGCATTTTGTATAACTCGTTTTATTTATTCCGTATTCAAAAATCAAAAAAGAAATATTACTCTTATTACACTATAAACTTTCTGTGTACGCATGGCTCTGATTCGCTTTTTTTTTTTATTTATAGTAGGTCGTGAGAAGTGGAATACATAATGTGTACAATACAAGAAAGTAGCTATGTATAAAGAGAAACACTTGATCAGAGGTCAAAGACCCGCCTACATTAAAAAGAGAAACTGATCTTCTCGAAAAGTACTCTACATGGCTAGGAGGCACATGACACTCTAAACATTGTTCATCGTGTCACATGATGAGAAAGCACGTGCCTTTTAGTTTAGATAACTAACGGCAAAACTATTTTCCGAAAACCGTGCTATGTGGATTTACTAGCTACATAGAGAAGGTCAACAATATATCGGAACTACCCTCTTGCATTAATGTGAAGGACATATCTGTCATACAACGAGTTCTGTAAATGTTTATTTTCCACCATTAAAACGAATTTCAAAAAAAAGAGAATGGGTTACTTAGTCCATCAATCAGCAATAAATAATGTAGGCTACAAATTGTTGGCCATATTACTACACCGCAGTTATTGGCACATCTTTCTCACCGTTTGCGTACAAATTTATACTTGATAATAGATTAACGGCACGCACAAAAAAGTACGTTATCTGTAGAATCATGACAGCTATATGCACAAAGTTCATTGGAGGGAATGCTTTTGTGATCGAACCATATAAGAATAAAGAATACAGAATAGAAAGTTAGAGATGGAAATACGGGAAGCATACTCAGTTCGATTATCCGAAGAGGGTTTATTTGTCATGGGAAGTTAATACAATTTCAGATGTGGCGGTTCACAGTCTTCTCGCATGACTTATATGAGAATTATATTCCGACTATTAATATGATTGTAACACAGTAAATTGTAATGTTGTTGATGATCTCAACCCGCTTGTTTATTCATTTTCTATTGCATTTTCCTGTAAATAAATAACTATATTGATGCAAATTTTTTCGGTATTCATTTGAGATACAATATACACACAGTTCATGACATTTATTTATACAGCGCAGTAACTAGTTGTACGAACATAAATCATCAATTAGTAAACGACTAACTGCTAAGCTTTTTGTGATGATTAATTTGCACATAAGTACTGTATAATCGGGACATGTCACATTTATATTAATGAAACATTTTTTGGGTTATGCCTTTTATGGTAATTAAGGTATCAAATAAAAGTGGGTAACAGAAAATCTTCTCATTCGCCGCAGTACTAGTCAAATTAGGATCATTATCTTATTAGGCGCAGCGATTGACCAATGATTCAGGTTTGTCGTGGGAAAGGAGTTAATTTTGGATTGACTTTAACCTTCGAGGAAATGGCTCAGTTCCAATTAAAAATTGAATATAAATACGTAACTTTATCAATAATGGGCCTTTACACGTACAGGGTCATGACAAGTGCTCCTCCTGACGAAAAGCCGCCTCAAAAATGGACTTCAGACGAAGTCATTTGTTTTCTCGAATCGAAGGTTAATGATTACAACTTTGATCAAAATGACATTGAAAAAATTCGAAAAGAAAATGTAAATGGCAAGGCCTTTCTTCGCTGGACCATAGAAATTCTTATGAATGTATTCGGAATAAAATATAAATCTGCAAATAGTATTATGGACTTAGTTGACGAGGTGAGGTTATCTGGTTCGTTTAAATCGTTCAGCATTAGTACTACGGGTGAGTGATTATAGAGCTATTGTACATTTTAATAGTATCATGATTAAACATTTTTTAATAAAGATGAACACGCTAGTACTTTATTATTTGATAGTCCAAGCCCTCGAGGAAGATCAACTATTGGTGAGGCCTTATTTGATTGTAAAATCCGTACGGCAGTACAACTTATATGTTGATTTAACAATTTTCCTCCAGATAAACATCCTCTGCCTAGTAGCGGTGATGAACTGAAACAGACAATTGAATGGGAAATTATTAAAAAGGGTGATTGGTTATGTATAATAAAAAATTATGGGTCGACATTTGTTGATCGTGAAATTGAGGTACGTGATGCTTAACAAAAGGATGGGTTATCGGTAAAATGGAAACTAATTTTTTATAATCATAGGTCACAGATATTATCGATGGTAAACTCACAGTAGCTATTGTTATAGACGACGAGAAAAAGGGAAAGAGTGGGATTATTACGTTGAAAAAACTTGAAGAATGGATTCTTAATGAAATTCCTGAAAAAGAAAAAATAACTAAACCTAAATCGAATCATGCTAGTGAAAACATAATCGTTAAACGTGATGGTAAATATTTGGGTCCGGTCTCAGTATTAAAAGCAATGTACAAACTAAATAATAATTTGTTACGTCGTCATCTTTTTTTGTCCGATGCTTCTCATTTCAGAAAAGTACCCAAGTGTATATTCCATATTCTATATCCTTTTGGTATGTTAACTATTTGTCTTGTTACTCCACCTGCCAACTATTACTGTTTTCAACTATTATTTTCTCGCTTGTTATTTCGAAATAAGTAACAAAAAAAAGAGTAAAGTTTTTTTGATCACTAATTAATGTAGAATTCGTGTAACCATAATTGAATTACTAATATCCGATCCTATATAGAATCTTTGTTGTAGACCAAATCAACCATGTCCCAAATCGTACCATCGGCCTAAATTAGGAGATCATCGTTGGTACAGTCTTAAGGCATTATTGGAATGGGCTGATTTTGTCTACCCTATGTGGCTTATATGATCTGCACTACTAAATTCTAAACAGTTACACCTTACTAGTACAAAATTAGTGTAATATTCATCACGAACAACGAGACTGTGACCCTGAGGGTCACGGTTGGCTTATTTCTTTTCATCGTAAACTGCACACATTAAATACAAAGTTGCCATTAAGAAAGTGGGATGAAAAATGTTATAACAACCTGTCCGTATCATGGCTATCTGTACAACGTTAGATTTCTTTTTTCAGTGTCCGCCACACATGTTTCGCTCGTGATGGTATAACTGGAAAAAAAGATCAATAGTTGTACATTTTCAAGATAGTTGAAGGTTTAAGTTTGGGCAAGCGACAAATCTTCTACCTGTTAAGTTCTGTTAAGGTATGTAGAAAGAACAGCCGTTTTCTTAATACTACGCTTTTAGCGCCCTTCAGGTAAATTAGTTCCACTGAAGAAGTCTTGGTAAGATAAGGCCTTGACTCATTGGTACCTGTGCTTTCCAGTTATTCTCCACGAATCCAAATTCAAGACGGTAAACGAGTATTAATAAATTGCAAAGGTAATATATTGTTCATTCTGAAACTAGTAGAACTGAGCTATGCTCACGGTTCTTTAATCTTATAGAGTAGAATCAATACAAATAATAATACGTCGACCATACTTTGCTCAACTTTTCATATATCAGAATTTTATAAGAATTTCAACATAAGATCAAAATACAAAAAACAAGATAACTGTGACCTTGGGTCATTTCCAGGAAATATTATAATAATATAGTCTACATCTCTAGTCTACGAAATCTATCCATTCGAAAAGAATTAAATACTGGATTATTACTAGTGTAGTAAAAAAGAATGTTACTATAACAACCAAAAACCAAGGTATTAACGTTCTGTTTTACTACCGAAGAGAGTTCAGTGCAAACACGCCGATAGAACCTAGATAAAGTATTTTCACTAATGCAGAAATTCATATCTCTTAGTTCTTTAACCACTGTTTTATACGAAAATTTTGTACGAGAAAACCTTTCTCTCATTGAATAAAAAAGTATATTCGTTCCACAAAATATCTTTCTTATTTTCATGAGAATAAAGACCTAATAATATGTTATACAAATTAAAGATATAAATATTATACCCGAGCAACGTAGTATAAATTATGGGCATAGCCCAGTCTCCGACTGTTATTACCTGATACTACATTTAGCAGTTTTTTGATGAATGAACTATCCATGGTTATCTCATCTACATCGTCAACGATTTTTTCCTTTGGAAAGACCTTACTCAATTCAATAATATTTAAGACAGTTTGATTTATGTTGTCTAACCGAGAACAACCACTTGTGTCAACTAGTAGCGATTTGTAATAAATAACAATATAAGCATTTTAAGCCGCAATTTGCAAAATATGAAATATACAGTATATGAAACTACTTTGCCTTTAAACCGATCACTTTCCATAAATATTTTTTTTCTTGTAACTTTTTCTTTTTATATTCTTCAGTGTGTTTTTCTAATTTCAGTTTAAACTGTTCATACTCTTCAAAAAAATCGATTACATCTGTATTATTCTATAGAACAATAAAACATTGAATTCATAGTATTATAAACCAATATTTTTCGAAAAAAACGTTACATTCATACATTCAAATCTGGCTAGCTTTTGACTAACATACTGATTTATTAACAAACGAGGTAAAACTGCAAAGGAATTATTCATTTTATAATTATTAGAATCGATGCTAGGAAATTCGACTAATGACTAAATTCTGGTTATCACACGTGATCATAAATATCTTTCTAGTATGTTCCATGCTCATGCTAGTAGAGAGGTTTATTTACTTAGTAGGTTTGATGCATGTAAAAGTTGTTTATTTTATTCTTTCTTACATCTCGTATCATTTACTATTTCTCTTACCTATCCCAAAGATGGGGAATAATGTACTCATCTTGTTGTTGGAGAAGGAATATATATTTCTGACGTCTGTACTAATGACAATAAAAGACTTTGGAAAATGGAATCGTTCCATATGAATTCGACAGCAATATAATTCCTGAACTTAGAGCCTTGTGAAAAAGCAATGGAAAAGATTTCTAGTGTATTGCCAATATAATTCGTAGAAGAACAAACCAGAAATTATGTTGAAATAGTTAATCGGATAAATATTGGCCCAGAGTTTATAAGCAAAGCGATAAACAGGTAATTTTGTTTCTGTTCTACTTAACTAGGCAAAGGAGTCATTTACTATTCATATTCGTCGACTTATATTATGGAGAAAAATTATGTATAAGCTAGTCAATAACAAGTGCTGTTTTGTTCTACCCTTCCTATGAAGGAATCATGTGATACTCTTTTCTATGGCATAGAATGTAACGTGATCCCATCTCCGCAGAAATATTTATTTTGTACAACGGCAGCTCATGATCTAGTTATAATATTTGTTTATTCGTTTGTATCATTTACGTGATTACTTGTGTCGATGATTCAGATCCTTTTTGGAGTTAATTATCCCGGTAAAGTAATGTGTGATTATGTAATCACTGGACAAAATGCGAGACATTAATTTTCAGAAGTAAGTTTCTCGAGAACCGGTTAGGTAGCTTGTTGGCAATTTTTTCGTTAACCTCAGTAATCGACAATATGTTGGAAATTTATCGTTGTTACACAAGAGAAAAAGAACAGAAAAAATGTTTGTTCACAGTTCGTTTAGGATAGAATATACAAATCAAGGGATCAATGCACATGACACTCTGAACTGACCGTGGGTTTCACCCAGCCAAGGGCTCTTGCCGCTCAACCACGCTTTTAACAAGAGGAGGTTCTACGTAGTACCTTTCAGATAGGAACCTAGGCTCCTGGGTTCATTGGGAAATTAGCTGATAATGAAGTTTTTCGATTTGTTCTATTGTTGATGGATCATCGTTGATTAAAGAAAAGAGACAATCTATCAACCCAAATGCGATTAGTGATGAATAACTAATAGTAGAAAAAAGAGAAGAGTCACAGTTAACATATTCATTACAGTGTAACTGCATTTTGTTCAGATTGTCATGATAACACTGGTACAAGTATTTTTTTCGGCTAATGATGTCCCGGACAACCATAGTCGATCAATGACGCAAGAGACAAAAAAAATTATTACCCGTTTCTCACAAAAATACCTAAGTAAAAACTATCGTAAAATCTATTTATATAATATTGATACATATTAGCTTCTTAACAAGGCGCCTTTGCTAAGAAGCTAACNTTTCTCACAAAAATACCTAGGTATGAGCTGGTGCAAAATCTATTTACCCATTAGCTTCTTGACAAGGCGCCTTTGCCAAGAGGCCGACCACTTCCTTCGGAAGGTCTAAAGACTAACTTAGAAATACTAAACTGTAAGTGACCGGTATAACAGTTATAGGATCGCCAAATTAGTCTTTAGACCTTCCAAAGGAAGTGGTTTTTCGGGACACACATAACGAAATTGTATCATTAAAAATGTATAACGAAAATGTTCAACTAAAATGTATAACTAAAAATGTATGACTAAAAATGTATGACTAAAATTGTATGACTAAAAATGTATGACTAAAATTGTATGACTAAAAATGTATGACTAAAATTGTATAACTAAACTTACCTACTAGTCCCGTAATTTCGATGTCCTTGAAATTGACCGATCCTTACAGTAGTAACTAGACAAAGATATACCCATCTACCTCGGCCAGTTACACTGCCTTGAGTTCCTCAAGTCCGATGTGGCGAACCCCATCTTTGAGTGACCAGTCAAAACCTCTATGACAAGAAACATCACTATACGAGAAGAAATCAGTCCCAAATGGAACACGCCGCGCAGCTTAATTTCATACTAAGGAATTTTATTTGTTCAATTCTATTATTAAATTTTTTTTTTTTCAGAAAAATATCGTATATATACGGGAAATCAGTATTCCAGGGAATACTAGGCTCTGCCCAAATTATCACAATTATGATGGTAACGAATAGTGAAACAATCTTCTACTTTTAAGGTAAGCAGATTTTTAATAATAAGTATATCGCATTGCCTGAATAGTTAGTTCCACTAAATTGTATGTGACCTTGTTTGGAGGAGCTGTTACCAAAATAGTCATCGCAAATTTATCATATCACGGAATATTGCTCACTCCTTCGGATACTAAATGTAATACCGATTAAAAAAATACTCCGACTTCCAGGAATTGCCGAGTGAATAACCATAATTTAGAGATGACACTAAACAAACGAGACGCAGATATTCATCAAATTACATCTTTTATGGATTGTGAATTAATGTTTGTCCACATTATCATTATCAAAAGGATAAGAATAGGATACATGATAAATCGTATGTAAAGGTTCATTTACCATATACAGTTGATAGTTCCCTTCAGGTAACCAATCAATAACTGTAGAGTAATGTGTTACTCAAAAATCTGCATTTTTCGGTTATTTAAGACAAAGATGCGAAGGAAAACTATCCTAAAGTACTATCCTAAAGTACTATCTACTAAACCCCCTAGTAAACTAGAGGGCCACTTACACAGAAACCCAAGTCAAGAGACTAGCCCGATGACTAGTGTTACAATCATATCAATAGTCAGGGAATTAAAATAAAATTCTCGTTATGAGTCACGTGAGGGCCTGTGAACTCAAATCACGTGTTACTGTGCCAGATTCACTTGCAATTTCATCTTTCATAATTTCTTCGTTCCTTGGAAAACTGAGAAGATTTTTGTATACAATTTGTCTATTATTCAATCACAGAAATCGATAATTATGCACACTTCGTGTGGTTTCACTAAAATCAGGTTAATGAAAAACAAGCGTGGTCGAGAGGCAACACAGAATTACATAATACTCTTCTTACCAACAAGTCACTAGATATCTTGTTAGCATTCATTAATGTACTCTACTTCGTACCCTTTGGGTAGTTTTGTCGATAATGTTAGAAATGACCCCTGGGTATATTTTTTTATTATATGTCGAAAGTTGAAACTCTTATATGTAATCTGAATTTAACCGGTGATCCATCAGATGAAAATCGGAATAATAACTGATATAGTTATTTGTTGGCATTATGGAAACCTACAGAGATATGTACATAATCAATCGTTGAAGTGTGCTTTAAACATCATTTCTTAATACCTCCAAGCAAAGAAAGTAAAAAAAATAACATGGAATTACAAGAACTATATAAAAAATAACTATCGTTATTCAATCATGTAACTAGTGATGCTAACGGATGAAACTGTTTTAGTGAGGCTGTTCTTAGCATGTATCTGAAAAGTAATACGATGCCTTAGACAATCTTTACATAATAATTATCCGACATTTCACATCAAGTGTCAACACAACTTGTTTGCTAATTCTCTTCGTTCCTCAGAAATGTCGTCTTCACGCTTCTTATTCACAACATATAATTGATTGTTGTTAAAACGAATAATTTATGTTAATGAGTACAATCCTTTCTGAAGAGTCACTCCAGTTCTACTTTAGGAACACATTACGAAGTAATGCCATGAGCGCACCCTGTGGGTAGTCCTACTCTTGTCGCTCAACCAGCTTTGTATTCTGAGCATTTTGCCGCTCAACCATGCTAGTTAAATAAGGAGGTTTTAGGAACCTGAGTTCATAGGTCTACAAAAAAATCTCCACTTCCTTCGGAAGGACCTATGGGCTGATTTTTCGAAGAACGAGGAAAATCATGGAGGGGCATTTCCTAAAACTTTTAAAGAGCATACCCTATGGGTGGTTTTACTAGTTGAGCGGCAAGACAGTTAGATACTATATAAAATTTAGGTGCATAGAAGCATGCCTTCGAATGTAGTAACAATTCGTTCTAATAAATAATAATCATAGTTGAGCCATTATGAACGAGATATTGAAATTAAGGGAGCAACTGTTTCATAGTATTGCAAGTCTACCCATGGTATGTATTTTCTTGCCACAAGGTCACGAAATTCTGCTCAAAGGACATGAAGTGAGTTATGTTTTAGTTACTATTGCACCCAACTACCTTTGTACTATCTCCTTTACACATCCTGTGTCTGTTGGAAATAGAAAACCAATAATTCAGCATGCTATTTTTATGGGGGGATATTTAGGTTGTGTCTTCTGACATTCTTGAACGTATAGGATTTTTTGTACAGTATTTCACCCTAAGTGGCAAGATAATGGCAACAGTTACGCATATTCAGTTGGCTCAAGATTTGATTGCAATCTAAGAAATTTGCTTAAATATATTGATCATTATGTTTTTATTTCTTTTTTTGCGCTAAGGTCGTAAGTCAATTTTATCAAAGCAATAAAGTAAATAGTACAAGACTGTGGATACAAAGAAACGCAAAGAGAAAGAACTATTAGCTCACCTATCTATCATAGGACAAACGAACTAGTTAATATTTTTTTCAAGTGTTTCTCAGTAACCTAATATGAAAAAGGCCCTATTTAATATACAATAGCAATTCACAGATAAAAAGCTGCGGTGATTTATTTCGCACGTGTAATTGTCACACTATGATCGGGCTAATATAATTCCGTGCAAACATAAAAAAATACAATAATAAGATTACTCGGCTTTTTTAGTAAAAATTTACATAGCTAGTTCCGTTACTTATTACAAGAATCGTTTGGAACTACACAGAGAGTAATTGCATTGTGCGCATATTCTATTTTACTATTTCCTCCAACGAAGACAAGCAATATATTCGGGTTTGGGGTCGCTAGTGAATATTTGTCATGAAACTGGTGCAATAATAATTTTTTCTTATTTTAATTTCGGGTTAAACTAATAGTATGCGATAACAGTTGCAGATGTTCATATTTCATCTTAAGCAGAAACAAACGAATAAATAGAAAAATGTACCGACTAAAGACCAATAGATCTAAGATTTTACTTTGTATAAGAGTTAACGTCAGGAACAACATAAGAGGAAAGGATTCGACAACAGATTCTAATAAAAAGGAGGGAGCTATGGTGTACCGTAGGGAGCGTCTGATGCAAAGCATCCCGAAGGTGATTGATTACGTTTATTATTCATTGTATTAATATAAAAACTGTGAACATATTACCCATTACTCGGAATTGTCAGAAGTGAATCAGTCGGAGACTGCTCGAAGAGCAAAATATCAGATCACAATGTAGAAAAACAGCAGTGAGAAAGACGAATACAAAAGTAATCCCAATAATGGGTAACAAGTGATACATAATCCAAAGTCAGTCTTAATTGCGATTAGTGTCCGAGAGAAACAAAATGTTATACTTAAGGTTGGATGAATCATCTTTCTATAGGATCGGAACGTTTTCTGATCAATGATTTGGTTGTACATTGTTGATTAAAACAATATGCGGAGCGGCGAAAAAAATTCCATTGCACAAATAATAGGAAACGAATTATTAGTTCTTGATAGATGACGTGTCAAAGAATTTTTTGTTTTACCCTTTAAGAACAGAGGTTGATATCGAAATAATATGGGTGGAACCCAGGCTGCGCCTGAAACACTGGATCTTCGATTTTTAGTTATTCAATCTCCATTGTTGTACTTGCACTGAAATACACGATTAAGTGTGGGTATACAAAATGAGATTAACATAGTTATATAGTAAAAAATGTTAACATGTTCTCATGCGATCATACTATAATGCTTATACTTTCTTATTGAGAAATTTATATATCGTTGCGAGAATGTTATTCGAATAGATTTTTTGTCATTACAAATTACGAGGTGTATGGCGCAACATTTAATACATAGAGATGAATTATTGTATTTTTTCAATCGGTAGCTCTTTGTTTTAATCCTATTACTTTCCGGGATTTGTCGATGCAATCTATCTTTCAGAAAGGTTATACAAGTAAGGGACTAAGTAGCGAAGCTGTAGTAATCATGATCCAGTAACGTTACCACATTATATATTAGTCATGTGTCAACACGTGACACTCGGAACAAATGTGTAGAGTATCATATGATTTACTTCACCACAAATGTGTTCAAGCCAATCACGATTATATCTATTTCGACGATCAATACTGCAGATAATAAATTTATATACACTGCTCATAAGAACACGTGACAAAAGTTTACGCAACAAGCTATGAATTAATAGTTTCAAAGTGAAAAAGGTTTTCTGAAATTCATGGGTTAATAAATATATATTAATACTAGATTGTACTACGTGGAATATGAGATGGATAATGAAAATCTGCTTTATTAAACTCCTTCCGATGTACAAGCAGGACATCAGTTTTTTTGGTAGCGCAGAACATATAAGCCTAATTTAATCGTTGCTACACAAATCACGATTCGATTAAACTTCTTCGTGTATCCTGTATACAATAGACTATTCGTAAATATAACAATAAAATGGTTTCGTGCTTAGACAAACTATATATGAAATCCTAAGCAGTCATATAGTTTCAGTCGGAGACTTGCCTTCAGCACACTCTCATTAAGTTACATGGATCGATATTGGTGCTCGGGTCTCGAGATCCTGTATTAACGACAAAAAACATAATACACAATTTCATGATATGTACTGTAGAGCATAATAATATTGTACTTTGGACATTCAAGAAGAACAAGCGAGATTAATATTAGTTGAAACCGTAATAGCTGACAGTGGTGCATTAACGAGAAAATATAATATTCGACTACAGAAACGCAGTACCCCTTGGATGTCAATGAACAAGTGTTCGAATAACGTTTCAGCTGAATTAAATATTCTCAGAAGTCGTACTAAAAAAATATAACAAATTTCATCTTATGGGATACATGCGGGCTATATCGGAATGAAATATGGCAACCATGACCGCCGAGTCACAGTCTCGTTGTTGGGAAAAAAATATTTGATCACGAAATTGGTAACGATCATTATCTGTCATACCATACCATGAAATGGATGTATTACAATACATATATGGTTAATACGCATCTCTTTTTCATCGCATATTTCTCCTTAAAAACTCTGTTCACAAACAAATCAGTCGGAGACTGCTCGAAGAGCACGTGTTACTGCGCCGTGAAAAAGTTATATCAAATATGATGCATATGGGTAACATATATTTGTGCATCGTATTATTTTACGTGTATGAAGAAATGACATACAGTAATTCCAAAACAGAAAGAACTCTGCCTATCATCATATAACTGTAAAAACTCAAAAAACAAAACTACCCAAAGGGTACGAAGTAGATGCCTTGCTATGAAAGCTATGAAACCACCTGCATTTGCTACATTTGACATATCTGTTTCCATGTCAGTAATAACAAGAGAGGACTTACCTCTACAAGAGTAGGACCAACAGCTATTCATATACTGTATGTGATATATATACTAAGCTCTGGTGAATTCTCGACAATTATTACATGCGACAAAATTCTTTTCCAGTGGAACTGGGCTCTGCCCAAAAAATGTGATTGAAATATATATACTGTATTATCACTGGCGATCCGAGTTTTGTGATTATAAATTCCAAAAGTATCTCAACAAGAACCCGGCTAAGTTTTTTCCGATGCTATTTTAAATACTGGAACAGATCTGGAATATGGAACTTATTCAAGTGCTTATGTGCTTTCACGGCTTATCGTATAGGTTTATTCCCTAATCCGTATCACAATGACGTGATAAAATACCGAGACCAGAATTGTATAGTGAAACCAAGGTACCGAAAATGTTCCGAGTAGGAACCATAGTGGAAACAGTACCGGTAATAATAACTAGCCTATCATTTTTCTGTATTACCGTAAAGCACGTGATTCATTCATTAATATAAAAGATAGTGGCTTAGCAATCTAGACCTAAAGAACATTCCAATGAAGTTCAAAAATGTAAATCTATAGTTCTCGTAAAATTTTTATATCCTTTAACTCTCTCCTCAAACACTACTATACTAGATATTTCCTAAAAATAATCTTTTTTGATCGTGTTTTTGAGCATTCGAACAGAACACAAATAACACGAGACGTAAGAGGGTGATTTTCAACAGATTATTATAGGGATGTATTCATCGTTTTTGTTGCCGGAGTTAGTAAAGGGGATTGTAGACTATCTATCATACGAAAATTCGTTGTGCAAAGTTCTTACGATAAATAAGACGTGGTATAGGATTTCTACCGAAGCATTATACCGGCATGTCAACTTGTATCCCAAGAACATTTCGCAGTTTGTGACCGCAATAGTTGGAAAAAAAGACGCAATTAAACTGTGTGAATATGGCGAGCTTGTTAGATGCATAAGCTTGTTTCATTTCAAAGATATCAGGATTAGCAAACAAATCAGTACAATCGCAAATGTGTGCACTAAAATATCCCACATAAGAATCTACTATTGTCCCGGAATTACATCAGAAACTCTTACGAAAATGATTTCCAAGCATCAGGATAAAATCCACGGCATCACAATGGAAACTCACGAAAAAATTTCCAGAGAAGTTCTCGAGAAGATTGCATCCTGCTCCCACTTGGAGGAATTAATTCTTAAAACTGTTGGTAGGGGACCTTTTAATAATACAGACTTGTTTATTTCTATTTTTCGCCAATGTACCAGTTTACGTGTCCTGGATGTAGAGCATGTATTGTTTGCAACAACAAACGAGATAATACAAACAATAGCTGAGCACTTAAAATATATTTCTGTCCTAAGGCTTGTGACGTATGGTGAAAGTATAATACAAGAAAACGTGTTAATGTCCCTAGCTCAATCTTGCGTTTACATTACGGACTTCTATCTAGATGGAATCACAGGGATAACTGATAATGTTATGCGAGATTTGTGCCACAAAAAAAACTGTAACTATTTTGTCAGAAGAAAATGTAATTGTTTCGGACTGTTAGAGTGTAAAACAAAGAACAAAACGAACAATCTAGTTCACATTTTCTTGAGAAACGTAGGACTTAAACATCCTATTACTACCCAATCGTTATTACATATCGCAGGCAATTGTCCGTCGCTTCACACATTAGAAATAACGGGGTGTCATTTATCAGACCTAGCCATCCAGTCACTAGTACATTCATGTAAAAAAATCCAGCGCCTTTGTCTCGGAAACGAAGATTTTTTGTTCACAGATGTGGTCTTGCTGAGGATAGCAGTGGAGCTCTCTGACATTCGGGAATTGACCGTAGTGAATTGTCAATTAACAGACGAATCTATGGTCAGTCTTGGACAACTATGCAACAAGCTCGAGAAGTTGCAATTTATCAATCGTAGGGGAGGTGGGAGGATGATGCAGATAACAGATCGAACAATATTTGCCTTTGCAAAAAGCCTCCGGAGTTTGTCATATCTAAGATTGTCAGATTGCGGTGAAATACTTTACAGAAACTTGTATATTTGAAGAATATGTCAAAAATATGATAGACATATCACATTCGTATTTCTGTTAAGTCTATTGTAACTCGATAATAACAATATGTCAAAAATATGTTAGAAATACAAGATGAAATATTTTTAGGATACATTGAACATCTGATAAAAATATGTTAGAAATACGAGATGAAATATTTTTAGGTTGTGTTGAACATCTAACTAAAATATGTTAAATATATATTAGAAATACGAGATAAAATATTTTTATGATGTGTCAGATATTTAGCAAAAATATGTTAAAAATGTAATAAATTATATGATAATTTTATTTTGAAAATATATTAAAAATATGCTAAACGTCTAATTAAATAATACAATGATTATATTTTTGAAATATGCTAAAAATATGTCAACCATATAATAAAATTGAGATTGACATATTAAAATATTTTTTTACATTCTCCGAATCTCTTCATAATTTTCCATCTTTTATCTATACTGCATTGTAATAAAATTTATTTAAAATATAACCTCGGTTAGTTTCATCATGTTCAACGTTACATAAATTTGTACAATTGTGTACAAAATGCACATACGGAATATGATTAATGAAATTAATTGGAAAAATTTGAAACCAACGTGACTCTTCAGGTTTTTGAATATTATAAAGTGGACATTCTAGTACCGGGTCAAAGGTGTTTGTTGCCTGAAACCAATTAAATGAAAAAAATGCATAATATTTGCCATTATTTGCTTGATGCCGAAAAATTGATGCAATTTTTGCATATGCGATACCTTCAGTTTCTTCACATAGCTCCACAACATCACCAACACGAAGCTTTATTTGAATATTATCTTGATTACTTTTAATAACGGTATATGTGATTGACCCATAGAATTCTAAATTCTTATTTAATAGCGTGGCTTTTGAATCTAAAAATCCAGTATATGCTTCATAAAGGTCTCGAAAAAATGGATGATCGGCATCTAACTTTTTTGAAAGTCCCATACTCCTAACCTTTTTGTTATTCCATTTATTACTAAATGATATATCAATAAAGTTTTCATCATGGCATACTGTGATACTATCTATAAAGGATAATAATGATAAATTAGCAAACTTCAAAATTTGAAAATTGCTACCTGATCAGATTAGTATTGCGTCCAATTTGGCTAGAAATAAAGAAAAATTTAACACTTAATTATAATTAAGCATACTTACCATCACGTTCATCTTCAACATTCTTTTGATTATTTATAGTTATGGATAAACTTTCTGTAGCATACCAGCCTGAAAATATTGTACGAAGAATTGGGTCTGTGTTAATATTGTTTAATGCATTAGTTCTTGTACTAAAACGAGGATCAGTCCAACCATCAATAAGATGTCGCAGTGCTTGCAATGTATTGTATCGTTTGGTAAGATCAAGTTCAATTACTTTGCAGTTCATATGTGGTACCATATTTTTAAATATGCGATGTACCATTTCTTTTACACCAACAGCAGTATTTAAAAGTGTTGCAAAATTACGAGCATGCTGTAAAAGGTGTACATTTACATGCAAATTTGGCAGGTTTGTGAAGTTATCTGAAAACAGCTAATAGAATAAATACGTTAGCTTTTGAAATATGATAGCCAAACTATGGAATTGCATAGATTACAGTTAGACAATTATTTTAAAAATTAACCATAAATAATTCACTTACTTGTATAAGTATTTCATATTCTCTTTTAAGTAATTCTTGCAATTCTTGGTAAACACTCTCTGTCATAGTATTTGAAAATGCAAGCTTTAATACTTTAGCTTCAATTGCCCAACATGTACATAACTTCAATACAGCTGAATTTTGTTTTATATTTTGTTCCATATTCCAATTGTTCAAGACTTCTTTTTTAATATGATAAGGCTTTAAAAATCGTCGAAGTACAAATGGCATTAACATTGTAAGCCTTAGTACATCAGAAAACATAAAACTCTGACGATATCTTACTGGATTAGGCATTCGATACCAATGTGAAGGTTTTTCAATATTTTTCCAATATTCTATAAATGCATTTTCACCATTTGTATTAAATATATTAAATGTCCCCTCTAAAAGTGTACGTGCTTTTCCAGCCATAGAGTGATATGGATCCTGAGGTATTTGAAGGTGTCGGTCCCATTTAAGCATCTTAAATGGTCCTGGTTCTATTAGTAAACCATATTTAGTTGCTAGTCGTTCTCTATCTATTTTTGAATGTTGACTTTTAATTTCTATAAACTGTTTTTCTGTTTGCTGGTGAAAGCGAGCATTTTTAATATAATTATAATCAATATTTGTATACTGATCATTTGGCACATTGCAAGATCGACATCCATATTTGGCATTATGTCGTTTAACATCTGCTATATCATTGCCTTGCGGCAGATCAGCAGTAACGCAACCAATACTACCTATAACAAAAGCATTACCATTTAAAGTTTGCATAATAAGACCCTTTTCTAATCTCTTTATATCTTGTAATACTGGTTCAATAAAATCATTAAATTTTGCTCCAAATGGAACGAAGCCAATTAAAAAATGATTTTTTAACTGTTTTCGAAGGGTTAATGGCATATTTCCCAGTTGTAGATAAACACCTCCTAAAGAATGGTACACATTTCTGTAAGTACCAAAATCATCAACATATATATCAAGAAAAATCTTTAAAACTGGAAGGTGTTGTGGTGGTGGTGTAAGTGTAATATATTCACAAGGTAATTGATGTCTCATTGTTATATCACGAAATTTCCACCTGTTATTAAAACGGTATATAATTTCTTTGATATAAAAATCATATACTTCAGGTTCTGGCATATCACACATCCAAACAATAATACGTTGTGCTATATTTTCTGGATTAACCAAATTTGTTTTACCTTCAACTAACCATAATTCATTACCATTTCCACGGGTATGTCGGTTATCTGTGAGGTGACAGTTAGGAAGATCATCATGTGAAATAATTTGATCAACTTTTAGCTTAAGTGAGTTATTATTTATTTCATCAACTACTATACCACGTACACGACATATAAATGTTGAAGATTGTTCATAACATATTAAAAAATCACCTGCTTTATAAACTAAATAAAATATTGTTAATAATTTTCCTTCCAATATAAACTTAATAATTTATTATCACTAACCTTCATTATCTTTCTTTATTTTATGTTCTCCAAACATTAATGAATCCTGCCAGAGTTCACCATGCCAGAACTCTTGCTTTTCATCTGTAACTACTCCAGGTCCAAAATACATCTTTGGCATAAGTATTGGGTTATTTAAAATACGTTCTAGATGTATTAATGGAGAAATAGTAAATGCCTTCTTTGTAGATTCATATGTGGATGGTGTTCGATATTTACTGAGAGGTACACTATGTTCATTTACTTTGGCTAAAGGTAATCTATTTCTCCACTTTCTAATTTGACGAATGTTTGTAATAATATCTTCCTTTCAAAATTTGGGATGTGTTAGAATCTTTGTTAAGTCTTCATATGCTGATGTTGCTACATAATACCAGTATAATTAATTTAGTATATGTTAATATATTACATTGTAAAGTATTTCAGTTGACATTACTTACAAATCATATGTTTGGTTATCCAAATAAAGATCATTGATGATGTGAAATTTGGGAAGTATGGCCCATATTCACCACTAAAACCTTCAAAGTCAAAAGAACCTTCTTCTAATACACTATTATCTAAACCTTCTTCAATGTCAGAAACATTAGATTCATAATCATCTAATAAAACTTCATCTATGGTATCAAATAGTGGTTCGTCATTTGCCAGACTCTCATCATCATTTATCAAAACTTCTTCTACATTATCAAGTAATGGCCTACTGATATATGGGAATTGGTAATTATCAGTATTTTCATAATTAAGTATTTGCTGCTGTACATTTTATAACAAAAAATTGCATAATAATTAAACTGACATGCTTTCAATAACAATTTATGAATGGTTTTTAATAGAATACTTATAGAAAATACATATACACTAACCTCATTTAATGATACATAACTAGCTGCTAGCTCACCAGAAGGTGGGCCAACATCTTCTATTTTACTATATTCTAAAATATTATCAGTTGTAAAAGTTTCCTCAACGTTATTATCATATAATTTTTTGACTTTGATGCGCAACTTTGGTGTTGGTATATGTGCTTGCATGGTTCGGTTAGAACGTTTCATTATTTATTTATTTATTTTGGTGGTAAAAATATGAAGTGTATGGATATTTTAACTTTTATTATACTTATACTTCTGTAATTATAATAATACGTTAAATTTTTATAAGTAGTATATAAACAGACTATTAAATATAGTAATATACTTCATAAACAGGTTAATAATATTTTAGACTTTTTTTAATAGACAATTTTTTTCATGCACAATTACAATATTATATATTGCAATATTATTTATAAATGGTATAGTGCTAACGTGTTTATTATATTGTTTTATACTAAATAATTTGTCATGTAAAAGTTAAGAGAACGCGTCACATTAAACTGGAAATAGTTTATTTAATATTTATCGTATTTGTAAGCAATAAATAGTTAAAATATTAACCCCCTATCAAACATATTAATCTTATTGAATCATGTGATTAATTAGTTATAATTATAAATACATAAATTTTCTACTTAGTAAGCGGATTAAATAAATTTTTTATTAAATAATTTTCTTTAATTGACAAATGCCTCCCAAAAAAAAAGTATTTGGTAAGCATAAAGTAAATTCTTAAAATACTATTTTTTATCCATTTCCTTCATATCAACTAACAGACTTTAGTATTAAAAGTACCAAAAGAGATAGCTAAAGATATTCAAATACAAGATGATGATCCTTCTTCTGATAATACGGAAATAGATCAACCTGCCACGTCTGCTGTAAAAAATACAAAAAAATCAAATAAAAGGCAGCAAAATAATGAATATAATAAAGGAAATGTTGCAAAAAGAACAAGATCCAGACAGCAAAAAAATAAAAAT